CAGGGGAATTAAGAAGGAGAAAAGCAAATCCAAACCCTTTCTAGACATGCCCACTCTGCTCCTGCAGCAGCAACTGGCTACTATGGGTGGATGTTGTCATGGTTTAACCTCAGTCAGCAACTGAGCACCACACAGCTGCTCGCTCACTCCGCCCCCCCCTCCCCGGGTGGGATGGGGGAGAGAATTGGAACAGTAAAAGTGAGAAAACTCATGGGTTGAGATAAAAACAGTTTAATAATTGAAATAAAATAAAATACTAATAGTAATAGGAAGAATACACAAAGCAAGTGATGCACAATGCAATTGCTCACCACCTGCCGACCGATGCCCAGCCAGTCCCCGAGCAGCCGCCCCCCTGGCCAGCTTCCCCCAGTTTATGTGCCAAGCATGACGTCACACGGTATGGAATATCCCTTTGGCCAGTTGGGGTCAGCTGTCCTGGCTGTGCCCCCTCCCAGCTTCTTGTGCACCTCCAGCCTTCTCGGTCGGTAGAGCATGGGAAGCTGAAAAGTCCTTGACCAGTGTAAGCACTGCTTAGCAACAACTAAAACATGGGTGTGTTATCAACGTTATTCTCCTGCTAAATCCAACACACAGCACTGTACCAGCTACTAGGAAGAAAATTAACTCTATCCCAGCCGAAACCAGAACAGATGTATAACACTGTACGAGTTTCAAAAGGAAGACCAGAATTTGAAAGATTGTATCATCTGGATGATCACAGCCAAAATGAAGCAGACATGTATTAGAAGCAGAAAAAATTGTCTGTTCAAAGTTTTGTGCACAGTAGAGATGGACAAACCTTGAGTTAGGACCAAGATGCATTGAAAGAGCTGTAGTGGATGTCCTGGACACAAAAATACATTTAGTTTTAGGGCCTGTAGATACTGGCACAGTACGGAATGAGCTGGCAACCTGTATGAAGGAAGAAGTGATCTAGGGGACATTATACAATAGTAAACAAGAAAACAAAAAATACATGAGAGTGTATGACTTAGAAGCTGTAAAAACTGTTATTTTCATCAGCATTTACTCTCAAATACTCTTCTTTGGTAAAAGTGGCAAAAGGGGAATGACAAAGTAAAAAGAAGCAGAAAAGTAGTCCATGCACATATGCACTGGTAGGAAATAGTGTAGTAAGAAAACAGTCAGACCTAGCACAAACACACACATGGAAACGTGAGAAAACTGGGGAAGACATGAGGTACTGGCACAGTATTTCCAACAAGCCCCCTCCCAGATCACTAACTGAAGACTGGGATAAGGAAAAAGGCAATTCATTGCTTACGCCTCACCTTTACAGAGCCCAAGGTACAACGTGACCATTGGGGCTTGCCTGCTGTCCTGGTGGAACTATGGGACAAGTGGAAAACGAAGAGCCTGGATGTTGCCTGAAAAGACAATATAATACAAAAAGATTGAATACCTGGCACAGGCTGTGATCTGTGCAATTCAGAAGGCTATTCTGATTAAGCAGGCAGAGGAAGGGAATGAAGTGCTAACAAAGAAAGAAGATTAATATTCAAGCAGGAGAAACCAGAACTGCTGTGAGAAGTGTGACTGCTGATGCATGATGCCCTGCTGCAGGAGCTGATCACACAGATGTGAGGCATGTCTGCACCCAGTGGCTGGTTAAACTGAAATCAGATTGGGCAGTGGTATCAACCATTTCTTGAGTAGCATTAGGCGACTGAATCCAACATCCAAGGAGAATTTTGGGAGATAAACAAAAGGCTCAAAGAGATATCAGAAAGGAAGGGTGTTTGAAACTGAGGAACACTGGCTGAGAGCCATCAGCCCTTAAACTATTCTAACGGAATTGGGATCACATTAACTTGGAAAACCAGAAGTTACCTGTATAATACATGATTGTAATTAATACCGTAAGGTGAAAAATTATGTATAAATGTAAAGTCTGCTATTGAATGCAAATATAAATGTTTAGCTGTTTGTTACAAAGAAGAGATGGAACGAAAGCAAAACAAAAACAGATGGAGGATTACTGAAGTTATCTAATAACACGAAGTAAATTTTCTTACTACGTAGTAATGAAGTAGTTATTTCATTACTATGTACTTCATCATTAAGTATTCAGGAAACAGAAATGCAGCTAATTAATCTGGATATCCTCAGAAACTCATAGAGAGGGAAGTGCTTTAGCCTGGGTAACTAAGATAACTATTAATAATAATATTTGCTTATTTTATCTTCCACAGATAGCATAGTATAAGCAATCCCTTCCAAATGTATGCAGACTGTAAACTGCATATTGCTTAGTTTTCTTTACTGTGTATTTTTATTATGATACATGCGTATAGGAAAAGTGAAAGCCATACTACTTTTAACTCAAATGTCATGGCTGAGTTTAAAAACAAGAGCAAAATATGAACCTAGGTCATAAGAGACAAAGGATCCGACCTGAAGGATTCATCTCCGAGCAAGAGAAAACCTGTTTGTGTGAAGACAGATGTACTGACTAATCTATAAATATCTATGTTCCTAATGAAATGTGTGTGTGTGTGTGTGTTTGCCCTGGATGAAACTTTCTATATTTATAAAACATAGACTTTTGAGTGCTCTAAGAAGAAAAGGTGAATCTCCCAGGTATAAAAATATTTCCTATGGAAAATTGTATTGCATAGAATACAATCACCTATGGCAATGGATTGCATATCTGTAAGTGTAGCTTTGTATCATTGGGATTGTGAAGACTGCACCTTCATTTATTGTACTGGGTATATTTTAAGAGATGTAGAAAATGGTGGAAATCAGGAGTCTCTAACCTGATAGGGTATCAAAACATTACTTCTGTTTATAATACGTAACCTTGCATGATTATTCAACTAGAGCTCATCAGGTAACTTTGGAGATTTATAGCATTTCTGATATGAGATGTGCATTCACGAAGATGGATTATTGAACATGATAGATGTTCTTCACAGTGTCTTTAGACAGATTCCAGAAAAACAGCAGCTCAACACATGCGTTACATATGTAAGGATATTAGTTTTCAATGTTTTGACAATTGCTTAGATCAGAATTTGACCAAGATGTGATATGAAATTGCCCCAGTCATTTTGCCATTATCTATGTAGGATTACTTATGTTCATATACATCCAGAAATCACTGTGAACTCTCTCATAGTGTGTAACATGCCCAATGATAGGCACACATGCAATGTAAAGATAGAAATTACATCATTACCTTAAGAGTAAGACTATGGTCTCTGACATTTACAGAAACCTGAACTTAGCTTTACAAACTACAGTTGTAATTTTAGTTGTTATACTAGCTTTGGTGATTGTACAATGGTTACATCATGATACCCTCAGACCCTTAAGTGTTATCATCACACAAGACCACAAAGGAAAAAGTGATTGCCTTCAAGAGCCATCACTCAGTCCTGCTAAGAAGCCTGGAGTCACAGGAGAGTTGGCAACATCTCTGCTGGACTCACGTTAACGATTAGCCAGTGTTCAGCAGACCATCTATCAAAAAGGGGAATTTTAGCCTGGTACATGTGATTTTTTCGCCATTGCCATTGCTCGCCTAGTGGCTGAGTGACCGTTGCTAAACCTGTGTGAGCTTGCGGCTGTGAGTGCTGCGGGGGGAAAGGATTTGACAGCCCCGCGCAGTCCCTGGATGACCAACAGCATCCTTAATGTCAACTGCATCTGGGAGAGGCTGTTGTGCAGTTGTCAGACTTCAGCTGGGAACCTCAATATTGAGGAGGGAGACACCCACCCGTCCCATGAACATCAGGCTGTGTGTGGTAAAGACCTCAGGAGGCCAATTCCTTGTCGTAGCACGTATGCCCCCATCTGCCTGAGAAAGACTTAAACCGTCCACCTTAGGACCTAGAGGCACACTGGGAAGGGGAGCATAATATTAAGAGAAAAGGCATAAGTGCTATAAAGTTTTCTGTGTAACAATTTAAACTGCACTATTAATGAGGGTGGGTTTTTTCCATATTAATTAGATAATTTGTACAATTATACTGTTAAAACATTTACTGGACTAACAGTAAATTCTTAGTTTCATATGTGGTGTCCTCTTCTGCTTATAGCAAGATTTTGAGTGTAGCACTAAGGAACTTGTCCCTGTCCCATCTTTCTGTTAATTAGAAACACTACTGGTTGCACCCGAGAACCAATTCGGTCAGCTGCCACTGACTGCCATTAAAAACTAAACCACAACTAATACTGCCAAGATCTAAAAGACTGTCTGCAGAAAGCATTTTGGACTTCCGGAAGTTCTGCGCTCACACGCGTTTTGCACCAGATTCCTCTGCTTTTACTGTGGCGAACTCAGTACACACTTAAATTCATGAATGCCACTTAGGTATTATTCTGCTTTTTGAAAACTAAAATATTTTTGAAAACTAAAATAATTCTACACATACCAATGAATTTATACTGACAGAGCTGTCAGAGCACTAGCAAGATGTATCTCCCCCCTTCTTCTTACCTCACTTGACCTCCCCCAGGACTAGATGTGTTACCCTCTGATCGAATATCTGGCAACCTGATTTTCTTTCCCAAGTAGAAGGCTAGACAGCCTAAATGCCTGTAGTATTTCAGGGAGGAATGGGAGACTATGCAACCAGCCTTCAAGAGACCTCCTAGGTAAGATTATTTCTCAGGGATTTTAGGAAATACCTGGCAATGAACAATGAAAGAAAGCAAAATTGCCGCTGAAGCTGAGGTGCTTCATTCTTCATTCTAAGTGTATTGTATATAAACCATACAATATTTGGCTAGCGTTAATAAGTTGCTTGTTTAATAGCAATATATCATTACAAAAGCCCACTGCAATAATAGTAGGAATGTTCCTTTGGGACAACTATCCTGGAGAGCTCAAGCTACTTACTTCCTATGTGTTAGAGATAAACCTTGGTAAGACAGAGGTGACAGCTGCCAAATATTGTGGGTACGACATTAAGGATAGAGTCCCAAACGTTTTATGTTCTTCCCCCAACAAATAAACACATACGCAAATACCAGGAAATAGCATTATTGGCAGTTGTAGAAGGTTGTTACTATTGGCAGTAATTAAGTTTGAGAAATACATACAGAAGGCATAAATACAACAAGGTATATACGTCCAAAAATATGATGATATTCCTAAAGGTTTTCCTATATTTTGTGTCTGTGAAGTGTTTCACAAATTCTTACTTGAAACTAAAGACTTTCTGCTAAATTAAATCTTTTTTAGTGAGACTCATAGGCATTTTCACAACAAATATTGTTCTACATCTGCTGATTTTTTTTAATTGGTATCACACTTTGAAGTGTCTTGATTACTGTGTAAACAACTATGAAAACTATTTACATTTTTTGATACTTTGTTATACAAAATAAAGACACCAAATCATAATACTGCAATATTGTGAAAGCAAGAAGCAGCCATTATCTAGGACTTTCAGGTTCTTGGAATGTTTTCATTTTGCTCTGCATGGTAAGTGCAAATGGCATTCCCACCAAGTGCGCTTACTGGAATTTGACAAACCTGACACAGGCTTTTTAGTATTTCAGATTGTACATTAGTTTTGATCTTTAAAGATGTGTTGTTATTTAAAGCTCCTGATACCATGACAGGGCAGAGGTAAGACCTTAAATGGTAGTCTCAGTGAATACCCTACATTTCTTAAAAAAACAAACCCAAAAGCAAAAACAAAACCCTCAAACCTATAAACTAATTAGTGGATATACTAACAGATTCTTGGAATGTTTGCTGCAATTTTCAAGGATATATGCTTTGTTCTTCATATGTAATCAAACAGTTGAATCCTTGCTAGAAGTGCAGTATTAATTACGGATCTGTGACATGCTGTTGAGGTCTTTGGCAGCAGCTGTGCAACACTGACCATTTCTTTTCTCCTCTGTGTCTCACCTTGGAGAAGCCAAAGATAGGGATAAGTAGCCTGTTTAATCTCCATTCTCAATGTTTGACCTGTCTGAGAAGACTACCAAGATAAATGATAATTAAGAAGTTAACATTTTTTTTTAAGGGGGGGCATTTGTATTGGAACTGGATGACAACTGTGCAATTTCTTATGGGTTCTTGAACAAATAGTAGGGCAAGTATGGCTGGCCAATGTGGCAAAATAAGTTAGTTTTCTTTCAAATGTTGAACTCCATTTTGTGTTATGTACTGAATGTGCAGAAACCAGTCCAAAGGTGGGAAGCCGCAATGTGTACTGTAACATGCTCAGATGTCTGACACCTCTATGAAGGACACAGGGAATCGTTCAAGAATCCATTCTTCTGGAATAATGAAACATGAATCTTTTTGAGTATCTGCCTCTTTCCAGGGGAACACCTTTTCTTGATAGTGTCCATTGTGGGATCCAGTATAGGCACAGGGGAGAGCTCATGTGTTCCTGTGTTTCTCAGTCCTTGGCCATGGACTACTTCTCATCTGTAAGACATCAAAAGGTGCAATGGCAATAAAAAATGCATACATCTCCTCACATGCAAGCAAGCAAAGTGGGCCAACCACACCTATATGTAAAAAGGCATTCAGGAAAAGGAACTGGGAGGAGTTGTGCCCAGACTAAAATGATGACAAATCTTGGAAATAGTCTTTAAGTATTGAATTTAAACATACCAAGAACATGCCTTGTGGCTTGTCACTTTGAGAGATCAGTAATTCTTAAATGTTCTCAATAGTAGAGTTAAACAATATCCCATTTTCTTTGGTACCTGCTATCTCTTCTCAGACGTATTAAACTAGGAGTTTAGACTGCCCACAGCTAAAATGGAGCACAGCTGATGGAATAGGCTAATAAGTACTTTGTGGTATTTGGGACCACACTGTGGCATCCCGGTATGGATGTTTGCAATGCTCCATTTATGTCTACATTGGAATAAAAACTGGGCACACGTCATC